TCACTGCAGGCATCCTTTTGGAATGGTGGCATTCAAAGGTTGCCTTGATCCTTATCTGGGTTATTTTTGTTGTTGTTTGGTTTGGTTTGTTTTAATGCACAGTGACATAGCCGTGGGCACCTGCTGAAGCTGCCAAGGTAGAATTGTTCCCTGCTGTCCATTTTTATCCAGCCTTGCTTCAAAAAAGGTTCTGTGAAAAGTGCTTCTGTGTTTTTCTTCAGTGTTTACTCCATATGCAAAAGCTCTCTAATATGTTCCAGGTGTTCAAGGCTTTTGCTTTCAAGCTGCAGGGTCAGTTACACATAGAGAATACTTGTGCTATCTGATGGACAATGGCTTTCCAGTACAGGAATTAAGGGGTATATGTGGTCCAGTTCTTGCTAGTGTGTAGCAGCCTTGTTTGGATTTCCTCATACATTTAATCATTCCCCATTTCTGATGTATCAACGATCTCTTTACAAGGAACAGAGTGCCAAATCTTGACTTGCAGAAGTCAGTGGTGGTTTTGCTGTTCACCAAAGTGAAGTATCAGTTTCATCTGGCATGTGTAACCAGAGAGGGAGGTACCTCTTACAGATAAACAGCATTTTTAGATCAGATTATTTTTATCATGACCCTTTTGATAACTGGTGCTTTTGTGAAACACATTGGATGACTGAGATCTCTCATTTGAGAGAGAGGAATCTCATTTGTCTGTCATTCTGCTACAGTTTGACCTCTTGGCAAGCAAACACTTGGAGACATAACAGACATACACCTTAAAGGCTCAGAGAGGAAATAAAAATTGCATTTCTTTTCTTTCTAATGTCATGATCTGGTGCTTACCTTTTCTGAATGTGTAGGATCTTCACTGCTGGGTTACAATATTTGCCTGGTTTACAGCAGCTTCCAGTTATGGATCTCCAAGGTCTAGCTGCTTTGCAGTGAAGGAGGAGTTCCAGCAGCCTTACAACTCTGGAAAGTATTATTAACCTAAATTACATGGAGACTTCTGAACTACAGAAAGATAAGTTCTAAGAGCAAGTCTGAGTAAGAAATACAAAATATTAGCATTAACTTTATTTTCTTCACCTTCACCAGTTCCTCCTCGTGTTGTTGTTACGTGAGTTGTACAAATGAGCACTTGTCATTATTAAGCACAGATGTAGGCACCCGCCCTGCTGATATTTACCATCACTGACAGAGGAAGCGTTGTTACACGTACGGGTTTGTCAGAAGCTTGGCATCTCCAAACAAAGTGTATTTTTAAGTACTTTAGTCTGACACTACTGAATGCACAGAAGAATCCGATCCCAGATCCTCCCAGTGTTTTATCAGCCCACTGGCCTTCTCCATCCTCCAGCTTGGTATCCATTTCCTCCCCAGCACTGTTAGCCAGAATACATGGTAATCAGGTTTGGATAAAAGAAATTGATGTAGCACCTGTCACTGCATTAGGAAGCCAGTTCAGTGTGTAGGATGCTACCTGATCTTTGCAATGATATTCTCATTTGACTGTTTTGCTTGTTCCTGCCCCCAGAGCTTATAAAGTAGACTCATGTTTACAGTCTAGAGAGGCATTTGACACATTCAGTTCATGATGGCTGACACAAATGGAAAGGATACATTCTAGGGAGCTGCATTATCTGTGCTTTACATTTCTGTTCTGGATATGAGCAATAATTGTTGAATGGGATCTCAATTACACTAAATACAGTGATAAAAATTCTGCACCCTTGATTCTGTGTGGTTTGTATAATTAATATTTGGGGTGCTTTTCTCAAGTTAATCCTGGCAGCTGGTGATCTGGCTACAATGACAGAGATCCAGTGTAGTGGCAGTAGGTCAGACTGTGTGTGCATGTGGAAGCATTCTCTGTGGGGATAGCAGATGGTGTAAAAATGAAAAATAGTTTTTATTATCAGGAGAGACAAATTTTATTTTAAAGAAGTTGTTCTTCTGGTGATGTGTTGTGAAAAATGTTTGCAGACTCATTTTGCAAAAGAACTCATCACTCCTTTTGGACCTAAGCTGAGTATCCAGTTAAAGAGTGCAGCTTTGTTGGATGAGCTCTTCTGAAAACTGATCTGTAATGAAGCCTCTGAATGAGAGAGATCCCACAGAAATCATTGCAGCCTAGATAGCTGAACTGTAGTGCTTTTGCTTGTAAGAAAGTTTTAGATGCCGGGAAAGTGAGAAGTTCTGAACGTTCCAACTTCCCCAGCCTAGTTTATTTTCCTTTCTTTTTAAATAAGAGAGATAGTGGAAAATTAAAACGAAGCAAAAGTTCTCCCTGTTTGGACTGAAGTTCATTATGGATTTGATTTGTAGAACTTGCAGTGTATCTTAAGGCAGACTAACAGAGCTGTGCAGTGGACGTCCTAACTCCCAGCTATCTTAGGTGCCCCTGAAGCCTTCACTGGGCACCAGTGGAAATCGGTCAGTCTTGTTAACGGGGAGATAAGCAGCGTTGTGCTGAAACATGGTGTTGTGTGTGGTTGTTTGCTGGAGCGGCTGTTGTTGTGTTTGGTTGGTTGGTTGGTTGAGAAGCAGCCTCTTCTGTGCACTTTAGTGGTCAACTGACCAAGGAATGTCTTGGCTCATCAGGAACCTCTGCACAGCACATAAGTGCATCTGTAACCCCAGGAAGATCATTGGCTTAGAAACTAGGCAACAGAATTAAATGAAAACTCTTGGCTGAGAAACCTTTATAAGTCTTCTTTCCTGAGAGTACATCTTCCACATTTTTGGGTAGTGTCCAGTCCTCTTCAGAACTTTGTATTGTTTTGCTTGAAAATAGTATCTAGGTGATCCAATCTCTTTTCCTCACCAAGCATAGAAAAAAATGACATGAGAATCTGATGCCAGGTTAAAAAATAGTATACACCACCATATAGTAAAATAGACCATCCAAGCTGAGCCTTGAAGACAGCTCCCAGTATCTAAATGTCTCACCACCCTTCCTTTCTGTGTTTTATTGTAGTATATCTTTGTAAGACACTTGCTTACAAGGCAGTAAGTCCTCATCTTGAAGTCAGGATAATGGGGTTTTACCACACTTTAATGGTTTCTCCAAATTATGCTGTAGTCTTCGAAAGCCTGGATACTGATTGTGATCTGAGAATGTGCCAGAGGAGATTTAGATTGGATATTAGGAAAAATAGAAGTTAGAAAAAAGCAGTGAAAGGGTTATCAAGCACTGGAATGGGCTGCCCAGAAAAGTGGTGGAGTCACCATCCTTGGAGGTATTTAAAAGACGGGTAGATGAGGTGCTTAGAGACATGGTTTAGTGGTGGACAGGTTATGGTTGGACTTGATGATCTTAAAGGTCTTTTCCAACCAGCTATGATTCTATGCAGGGCCCAACCTTAAAGTCAAGAGAAGAATTTACCTTGACTTCAGTAGTGTAGGCGTGTAGCTCGAATTCTGCTAGGAGCACCTGTGTTTCATTGAAATCACTTGGAGGTTGACACTTAAAGATCTAGGAGGATCAGAATCTAAGCCCGTGACTATGTACTCTGCGACTAAATTTTATTTAGGGTGTCTTATTGTAATCTAATACTAGTTAAAAATTCCTAGCAAGATCTCAGACCATAGTTACCAGGTGTTGACTGGGGTTTGTACTTGAGGTAATGAAGGTTCTAGTATCTCAAGCAACGGGTGTTAAAACAGCCTGTGTGCTCTGCAGCATCTAAGAAGATTAAACACTTTTAAAAAAGCCTCCAAGGTGCATTAACATTGTTGTCTGGTGTTCTTAATTATGTTTGGCTGAGTGTAACCAGATGCATGGTAAACAGGAGACAAGGTCCAAGAAACTATTTTTGTTCATTTATCTTGAGTTTATCCTATGGTTTCTGTATTTTACAGGAGATAAATTTTTCCACCCTATAAATAAATTATTCTAATAATTTGTGATGAAGCTACAGAATAATTAAAATCAAACCACCAGTTTCCTCCATATTTCCTGTGTACGAACAGCAGAGACAAACTAAGTTATTACTTGTACACGTCCCGTCTCTTTCCTTTTCTGTCATGTTCTGTTGTTTTTATACATACTGCAGTATAAAATCCTCTTCAGTATCTATCTGCGATCTTTGTCTGTCTTTAAAAAAATGAAGCAAAACAGAATTTTTTTGGATCGAGTTTATAAGAATTTTGGATTCTGTTTATAAGGTCACGTTACAGATTATTTTTTTATTAGTATTACTTATAAAATTTTTGGCCAATCTGGTTAGATATCTGTCTAGAATAAATTAAAACTTTTTCATGGGCTTTCTGCTGGGGAATTGCACTCTACTGCTTGTATATGCTGCTTCTTGGAAGCTACATTTTTTAATTGAAGTAATTGTGCGACTGTGACGCAGTTCCTCTCTTCAGTCCCTGCAACCAAAAATCACACAGGTCCTCATGATGTTTTGCATGCCCCCCCCCCCCACACACTAATATATATATATATAAAAATTAAAATAAAAAAATTCTTTATTGATTTTTCTGGAATTATATTGACAAACATTATGGGAAAAAATGGTGTTCTTCCTAGAAAACAACAAACCTTACAGAAGGTGCAGATTATAATGCAGCTGTAAAGTTCTGGGATCATATTTACTTTATGTGATGCTTTTACCATATGTTCTCAGAATGTCATTTTTTTCTGCAGCAAACAAAAAAACCCTGTAAAGCATTAAGCGTTTTATGCAATCTCCATCCATCTCTGCACTATTGTACAGAGTCTTCTGTTTATCACCTCCACAGTGGATGGTGATATCTTTATCTAATGAAAGTGGAAGACCCCTCCTAGGTGCATGGGCGCTGTGAGGACAAGCATGTGAAGATTGATACAGGCCTTGCAGTGCCAGTGCTCAGTTTGCAGGTTTGGCTCTTGGGGTTAGATAACTGTTCCTTTCTTGTATTGTGGTCACTAGCACAAGGAAGACCTGTTCTGGGCAAGTGTTTCAGGATATTATTCTAACTTGTGCTGCTTTTTGAAATTCAGCTGTCCTGTCTGTTGTCTGTTTTGCCAGAGCGTAGACCTGGATGACCACCACAAACCTGAGTTTAGAAGAGTTTTTAGTTCTTCCATCATTGAAAATGGCCATCAGTCTTCATCAGGTAGGAACAGGGCATGAAATGACGTAGCACAACCTGTAAAATACCTGATCCTGTCAGTCATAGGGCAGCTCTCACATTAGAATCTGCTATGGTTTCAGCATGAATATTGTACTGTGGCACTGATACCGTTTAACTTTCTTTTCTAATTGGGAGTTTAACTTTCAAACTTTAACTTCATTGTTAAGCATGCATTATGGGGTTTCATAAATTAGAGACTATTACTGTCACGTTATCTTGTGGCACTAGTTATAGTAAGGCCTGCTACTCTCAGTACCATTGTAGCCTTGCATCCCAAAACTATTTGCAAATTACCTGTCTACTTCCATCACCCTTCAGTGGAGGAAGGACTTACTATCTCCATTTTAGAGAAAACTGAGGTACACAGCGTTTACAAAACCATGAATAGAACAAGAATGCTGACTCCTAACCCATGACAGGAGACTAGGGGTGGAGGCTGTGCAGAGGAAGAGAAGGAGCTTACCAAATGCAGATGCCAGTGGATTAATGATCTGAAGAAGTTGTTCTTTAAACTGAAAGAGGGTAGGTTTAGATTGGATATTGGAAAGAAATTATTTACTCTGAGAGTAGTGAGGCCCTGGCCCAGGTTGCCCAGGGAAGCTGTGGGTGTCCCCTCCCTGGAAGTGTTCAAGGCCAGGTTGGACGGGGCTTTGAGCAGCCTGGGCTGGTGGAGGTGTCCCTGCCCATAGTGAGGTTAGACTGGCGGGGCCTGGGGGGCCCTTCCAGCCCAAACCATGCTGTGATTCTGTGATTGCTTAGATTCATGTAGGACCAGTATGGTTGCTGCAAGGATCACCTACACTAGAGTTGTTTCTGCAGCATGCTGTAGATGGTATAACGTCCCACAGGGAGAACAAGGTGGAATAATTCCAGTGACTTGTGAAACAGAGTTGTTGAATAGAAATTGGTTTGTAACTTTGTTACAAATCTGCAAATAAATTTGCTTCCTTTCTCCTTTTTATTCACTAGGTCAGGCAAAAGTCTCCCATGAACTGACCTCTTTTCACATGTCAGACTCTTCCCCTGAAGCCCATGCTCCTGCAGTCACCTTACAGATGCCCCACCTTCCCGTTACTGCAGTAACGAGGATATCAGAGAAGTTTTCAGGAGAGACCATCTGTTCAACAGGAGCAACTAATGTGTCTGCTGGCCTGCCAGGACAGAGCAAGAGCAAAAATGCAATGGCAGTGAAAACTGCTAACCAGTCAGGTAAAAGAGACAAAAGTAATTTGTTTGCTGAATCTGTGTCCCATTTCTTTACTTCAGGAAACTCATGCTATGGGGACTGTAGGGTGACCTAGTGGTAATTATGAAACCTCACTTCTATGGCTACACACTCTTTGGCGGGATGCTCTGATTTAGAATATCGTGGATCCTAGGTGGAGCTTTAGGCTATAATGTGACATTTGCTGAGAATTTTTGCTGCCTAATGTAGTTAGTAGTGCAGCCTATCTCCTAGCACAGTTGCTGAGTAAGTATCTCTTCAATGTGCCCATCGATTTTAAGGAAATTTGCAGTGCTTTGAGACCTGAGGCCCCATGAGAAAAAAATAAGAAATCTCATTTCATTCATATTGAAGTCATTAATCTTTGAGCAGGTTTTCATATACATTTAGTGATAGTGACACTTACAGATCAGAGTGTATGTGTGTGTGTACGTGTGTGCGTGTATATGTGTATGTCAGAAATTTCAGAGAGAGACCAGATGGAATTGCCAGCAAGAGATAGGGATTATTTGCAGATTATTCTTTCAACTTTCTTCTTATTAAAGCTAAGAATGTAGCAAAGCCTTCCTTTGTCTTTTTTTTTCTGCTGTTTCAGTGAAGGCCTGGAATTCAAGTACAGTGAGAACAACGGGTTCATCTGCCACTGGAAGTGAGTGTTCCTATCGGCATGTCCTTATGCAACGCAGATTGAGAGGGGTTCCATGCTCCACATCTGGGGGATTCAGAGCTGAGTGCACAGTTCCAATTAGTAGGCACACTGCAATATTAAAATTGCTAACCAGGCTGCATGCAGATTCACTTTCCCAGGTATCATGAAAACTTGTTCTGCTGTATCAAATTCTCAGTCGGCTCAAAGCGAGGGCTACTCATCCTTATTTGCACAGTGGTGTACATGTGTAGTGTTAGGCAGCCTCTGCACTGGAAACAACAGGTCAGAAAAGTGTGGCAGAACAGTTTGAGCACTGAAGATTTCAGCTGACCAAATGAAAACTGTGACTGAACACAAGGTAAAGGCAGTTAGAAAGTGGTGGGCCCACCCTATGGATGTTGAAATAGATTCCTTTGAACAGAATAGCAGGAAGTGGTCTCCTTCGTACATTAATATGTCAAAGGATTTTCATTTTCAGTCAAAATAAATGAGTTGAGCTCTATCCAAAAGTACTTCTGATCGATGTCACGAAGCTGTCACTGTCTACACAATGTACTGGCATTTGACAGTGGTCTCAGATGTCAGATTAGCAAACATGTAGCTCATCCAGAATAGGACTTACACTCCTCAGCTTAAAAACTCTGAGATTTGCACAAATATCTGGCAACTGTTTGCGATACCAAGTTCGTCACATCTGTAAACTGGCATTTCTCAGGGTGTTTTACGTGAGAACTCTAGTTGATCTGGATCCCTCCTATAAGCAGTGGGGAGAGTTGAGCATTTTCAGAGTGATTTGGACAGATTGGATCAGGTTAGATTGCTTCTAAGATGCCAGTCTTTCTTCTTTGTGTATAGAAGGAGCTTTCAATAAATTAGTTACTGGCTTTTGCAACAAGTTTTGACTTTAGTGTGTTAAAACTGGGTAAGCCACTCTGTTGTTCTGCACTTACAGATCATAACTGGGGTCCTGAGCTGTGCTCTAAGAGGCAAAGCACAGAAGGTAGAAATCAGGGGTGGGGGGAGGAAAATGCAAAGCTGGTTTGAAGCCACCTTTGAAACCTTTGGAGTCTGTTTTACTTTACAAGCTAAAACGTTTCCTGGTGGAAATTAGGTAATTTAAATTATGCTGTCAGTCATGGCAGACTTCCCAGGACTCCTTGTATCTGCTGGAATGACTCATGCAAACTGAGCTGTAGCACTATTTCTTCCTTCCACTGAAATGTCCATGGCAGTGTGCCCTTGTCTGCGGTCTGCACAAGGGCCTGAAATGATCCAGCCTTCCCAATGCAGTTTTATCAAAGACATCTTCTCACAGCCCTTTCTGTTACGTTTACCATCCTTGCTGCAGTGCAGCAATTTTGCGAAGGGATTGAACCCCTGGGAAGAATCCCTCCCCAGCTTGTTAGCTTATACGAAGTTAGACAGAGGCCTGCAGCTTTTCACTGTGGTGAGCAAAAATTGATGTGTGGCTAACTATCAGGAAGTCGTTTGAAAATGTGTGAGGAAAGGAGAGAAAAGAAGTTTCTGCCCTGATGTGTCTTGTTTTTTCTGCTTTTATACAGAGGATACCACTTCTGTCACTGCTGTGTCACTACAGTCTGTCTCAGCTGTGAGCTATGGGACGAATAGCGGAGCCAAAACTGGCGAAAGGTATGCATTTGTCTTGACATTTTGTTAGGCCATTCTGGTCAGTATAGCCTCAAGGGACAGGTGTTCTGCTGGCTTGGAGAACAGGTGAGTCCCAGATGCGTGTCTTTTAAACCTGTTAAAGGTTGTAAGCTTTCCTGAAGGCTAAATGGAGCAGAGATTGGAAGGGATAAAAATCTTCTGTAGAGCAGTTTAAAGCAGACCTAACTGTGGATTTCAGCATTGTTACAGTGTTAGTCAGTAAAACTCTCAGTGCCAGTGGTGGATTTTTGCTAGGAGGAGCAAGCTGTCAGGCCCTTTGAAAACATTTTAAAAATACTCAGCTGTGTTGAAATTTGTATTTTGGGCTTGTTTTTTGGAAAACAACATATGACTGCCATCAAATGTCCTTAGTTTGGCTAACCTAGAGTTTAGTTTGTAGATAAATGCCTTGCTGAGAACTGAGGGCTACTACACATTCTGGATTAAATCGGAGTCACAGTTGCTTAGTATAGGATTACATGGTATCACAATTACTACTGGCATATCCAGGCATCCTCAGCATGCAAAATACCCATCAAGAAAAATGGGAGAGCAGCCAATTTAAATCTCTTAAATTTGGCTTGTATCTGCCCTAAAAATTATCCCAAATTTGGCACCACATTTCTTCTGAGTTAGTTCCAGCACCAGCACTTCAATATTTGAGTCACGATACACTGAGCACCCTAGAGAACCTGCTGTCAGATCTGGTCTCCATCTGTACCAGAAATTAATGTGTGACACTGATGTCATTGCTCTTTGCCTCAGTTTCTCCATCTCTGTCATGGGGAACATTTCCAAATGTGATGTGTGGCTTACTTTTGTGATGCTGATGAACTGGCTGATGGCTCAAATAAACAAAAATTAGAATATAATTCTGTATTTCTCAATCAAATCACCAGCTTGTGGCCAGTGAAACAACACTGACATGAGCTCAGGATTCTGTGTAAGTAAAAATCACAAAAGTCCTTCCTGAATTACTCTTCAAGTTCTATTTTAAAATGTGACTTACCCTCCAGGAGCCCCAAGATTTGCAGTTAAAGGGTTTTAGGGCTCCTGTATGGCCACAAATTTTGTTTTTCTTTTTTTTTTCTTTTTTTCTAAAGCTGTTTAGTTGTTGTTCTGCTTAGTGCTATAAAGCATTTGTGACTCGTCCAGCTATGTCTCATTTGTAAAAGTACCTTAGACTCTTCTATACTTAAGTGCTGTTGTCTGTCAATAAAACTTTGACTTTTACTCATCCTTTTGACTCATTCAAGTCCTTTTGAAACAGCTGTTTTGGGAGGTTTAGAGTAGGCAACAGTTGGACCTTTATGCTGACGCCTGACACTGCAGAGAGTTACTTTTTTGTTTAAACATGTTAACTTTTCCTGTTATGTTTCTCCAGTGCCACTGACAATTACTGTGATGTGACCCCCAGCTCTCGCTCCTCTCCCCCCACCGTACATCGCCAAGTTGAAAGAAGGCGAGAACTGGTGCGATCTCAGACGCTCCCACGGATTACAGGAACACAGGCCAGGAAAGCACTTTTTGAGAAATTTGAACGCGATAGTGGAAAGTACGTCACACCCTTTGTCTCCAGAGTGGGTTTGTCAATGGGAAACTAATTGGTCAGTTATCACCAGCAGGTGACAGCTGGTTGAGAGGACTCCTCTCAGTGTAGGATTTTGAGCTAAGGGGCAATATGAGGTCACATACAGCTTTGCTGACTTCACAGACTGAGCCCTGGAAAATCTACAGAGAATCTGCAGATGCAGGTGCCTTTTATCTGGAAATAGTGCTGGGAAAGCTGCACTCTTTGTCATTATAAGACACTGGGAATATAGTGACTTTCTGTTGCCATTCATTAAGGACCAAAAGCGTGGACCGTTCTTTATGCACTGTGATGGGAGTATGATTAAACAGGAAAGGGCTTGGAATCCTGGCTTTAGTGAAATGAAAATGAGGTTTTCTTGCAGGACCAACAAGTTGAAGTTTCAGCAACGTTTCACAAATATCACCTGGACAGGGGCTGACCTGCGCAAGGTTGCATATATCACAGAATCACAGAATCTTAGGAGTTGGAAGGGACCTTGAAAGCTCATCCAGTCCAACCCCTGCCAGAGCAGGATCAACAGACCAGGTCACACAGGAACACGTCCAGGCGGGTTTTGAATGTAGAGGCCCCCACAACCTCTCTGGGCAGCCTGTCCAGTGCTCTGGCACCCTCACAGTGAAGAAGTTTCTCCTCATATTTAGATTGAACCTCCTATGCCCCAGCTTGCTCC